TTGGGGAGGGGGAGCACTTATTTGGAAGGAGGGGGTGCTTACCCTGGGGGGGAGGGGCACACTGGGGAGTAGAGTGGGGGGAGGGGCACTTGGTTTGAAGGGGAGGAGAGGATGCATACCTTAGGGGATGAGTTGGGGGGGGGTATCTTTGGGGGAGGGGCACTTACCTTGGGGGGGTACACCAGATTGTTGTCATCCACCGTCGAGACGATGAACTCCCAGCTCAGGGTGTCCACGGAGATCTGCTCCCCACCACACAAAAAAACCCGGATGTCAGCCCCCCCTCTCCACAAGGACAAGTGTCAGGCCCCCACCCACCCACCGCACCCCCTCCGTACGTTGTTCTGCCGCGCAGCAGCCTGCAAGACGGCCGTCAGGAATCCGGTGGGGAAGGTGAAGCCGGAGAGCCAGAAGAGCACTGGCGGGTGGGCCGTCTTCGCCCAGCGGGCAAACTGCTCCACCCGCAGGCCCAGGTCCCGTGTCCAGGCGGCCAGGGGCTTCTGGGAAGAGTAGGCCTGCAGGGGGTGGGGGGGGTGGGCAGGAGAGAAAACAGCTGGAGCCAAAAAGGGACCTACCCCCACCGTGGCCGTATCGGGGAGGGGCTGTTTCTCCACCGACCGGGATCTCCCTGCGAAGAGGGCAGTGGTGGTATTGCTAACGGTTCAGCACGGTTCAACCGAACCGGTTGCAAAACTCCAACCGTCAGCTGAGAGGTGGAACAGGATGGATCCCACAGCTGTCCCAAGAGGCCCATGGGACAGAGAAGACCACCCACCCCCAAATTAAGGCCATTTCCCACCCACCCCCGGTACACAAAGGAGGAGGGGTGGCCATGAACAGCCAGGAGGCCCTCACCCTCTCCCACATGGGGGGCACGCGGGCATCGAAGATGCAATTGAAAATTTCCTCCAGGTCCGTCGACATGACCACCAGCCCTTGAATGCCCTTCTCCAGCTCCACCAGCGATGAGCTGTAAGGGGGGAGAAGCAGGGGTCAGAATAGGGGTGGGTTGGGGGCTCATGGGGATACAAACATTTTAGTCCGGGGTGGGGCAAGAACGCCGAAGCCCATGCTCCCCAAAGAACGAAGAACATGTTTTGACAACGATCGCGCTCTACGCGTTACGGTTTGTAGGAATATGTGTTGTCACCAGGGAGCGGGGAGGCTTATTATTCTACCCAATTTATTATTTTATTATTTGTATTTCCTTTAGGTGGGTTTTCTGCCATGCTTAAGCCGCCTTCAGTGCGAGCAGGCGGCGATATCAATTTTCCGAAACAAAATAAAGGAAAATAACTCCGCACGATCTCTCTGATTCTCTCAGAATTGCCTTGCGCGCGTTTTCCCATCCTCACTTTCTTCGCTTCATCATCCGCACCTAAAGTCTACACGGGCAGTCCTCAATTTACGACTGCCCCAACATTTCCATTCCACAACCAACATCGTCACCATCGCCTTTTAAAGACCCCCATAATCCCTTGCAGTGGGAAGTCTTGGGCAACTGAGTGGAGTTTTGAATATTTACTGGCCGGATGCCCTTCCTGTCGCCAATGCGGAGTTTTGTTCAGCAGATACATTCTCATTTCCATTCCACAATGGACCCCCAAATTTCTGATGCTAAGCGAAACAGTTCAGTGACTTTTGCCCCATTTTACCACCTTTTCTGCCGCCGTCGTTAAGCAAACCACTACGTTTGTTAAGTGAATCACATGGCTGTTAAGCAAATCCGGCTTCCCCATGGACCTTGCTTGGCGGAAGGTGACAAAAGCGGAATCCTGTGACCCCGGGACGCTGCAACTACCATAAATATGAGCCCATTGCCAAGTGCCCCGAATTTGGATCACGTGATCCTGTGGAGTCTGTGACGGTCGTAAGTGTGAAAAACGGTCTTAAGTCCCTTTTTTTCAGAGCTGTTGTAACTTCAAACGGTCACTAAACGAACTGGTGTTAAGTCTAGGACTGCCTGTACATCTTTCCCTTCTCTTGCCTGTTTTTTTTTTTTTGTCATCCACAGACGCTTCCACTTCATCATTCCAACTGCAATTAAATTCAAACTCCATTTTAAAATGGCAGACGTTGTCAGCCCTTGTAATTCAGTGGCGGCTGGGGAATGCTGGGAGTTGAAGTCCACGCATCTTAAAGTGACCAAAGTTGAAAGAGATGGTTCTACGCGCTTAAACTGTCATAGTTTCACCCCAAATAATCCAACATCCAGGCTGAAACAGGCCATCCTTTCTTCAGGACCCCTGCGAAGTTACAATGGCACCGAAAAAAAGGGACTTATGGCCATTTTTCACACTTAGGACCATTGCAGCACCGGGATTCGCTTAGCCATGGTGGCGAGAACGGAGGTAAAACGGGCAAAACAACAACTGCATGGTTGTAACTCAAGGAATGTCTCTATTACAGTGAGTAAAAGGGGGAAACTCTGATGTTTTAAACCCAGGGATTTGCAAGCCAGGGGTCCACCCCCTCACAAACCTCACGCCCCCCCCCCCCCCCAATGAAGGAGTGGGTAGCCCCCCAGACCTGATGATCTGCAACAAGGAGTTGTAACGCTGGATCTCTTGCAACAGGACCACATTGAGAGGGGAGGGATCGGTGGAGAGCACCCTGCAGGTCCCCTCGTAGTCGATCTCCTCTGGAATCTTGCTGCGCACGTCGGAGGAGAGCTCCAGCACCTGCACGGGCGAACGGGACGCGTAAGAGAGCAAGAGGAAGAAGAGAGGCCTGTCAAATTAGCGGGACCTGAACGCACTTGTAAGTGGATCATAAGCTTCCTAACAGACAGGAAGCGGCAGGTGAAGCTAGGCAGAACCATATCTGATACCTGTACAATTAGCACAGGAGCCCCCCAAGGCTGTGTGCTCTCTCCACTTCTCTTCTCCCTATATACCAATGATTACATCTCAAAAGATCCATCTGTTAAAATACTGAAGTTCGCTGATGACACAACAGTGATTGGTCTCATTCGAGACAACGACGAATCCGCATACAGACAGGAAGTTGTACAACTTGCCTCGTGGTGTAACCGGAACAATCTGGAACTGAACACACTCAAACCCGTAGAAATGGCGGTAGACTTTAGGAGAAATCCTCCCATACTACCACCTCTTATGATACTAGACAACACAGTATCAACAGTAGAGACCTTCAAAATTTCTAGGTTCTACTATATCACATGACCTAAAATGGACGCCTAACATCAAAAATGTCATCAAAAAAGCACAACAAAGAATGTTCCTTCTGCGCCAACTCAGGAAGCTCAAACCGCCCAAGGAGCTGCTGATGCAGTTCTACAGAGGAATTATTGAGTCTATCATCAGCACCTCTATAACTGCCTGGTTTGGTTCTGCAACCCAACAGGACAGACACAGACTCCAGAGAGTAATTAGGACTGCAGAAAAAACAATTACTACCCACCTGCCTTCAGTTGAGGACCTGTATCCTCCACAAGTCAAAAAGAGAGCTGTGAAAATATCTACAGACCCCTCACATCCTGGACATAAACTGTTTCAATGATGCTATAGAGAGCCCTGCACACACAGAACAACTAGACACAAGAACGTTTTTTTCCCAAAAAAACCCCATCACTTTGCTAAACAAATAATTCCCTCAACACTGTTCAACTATTTGAACTACTATTACTGTTAATCTTCTCACCACTCCTTCTCACCCATCCCCTCCCACTTGACTGTTTCCTGGTATGATTTGATTGTTGATTGCACCCTATGACTGTCATTAAGTGTTGTACGTTGTGATTCTTGATTCTTAATGAATGTACCATTTCTTTATTTATACTGAGAGTATTTACACCAAGACAAATTCCTTGTGTGTCCAATCACACTTGGCCAATAAAGTATTCTATTCTATTCTATCCTCTTCTATCCTAGTTTCTATTCTATTCTATTCTATTCTATTCTATTCTATTCTATTCTATTCTATTCTATTCTGTTCTGTTCATTCTCTTCTCTTCCCTTCTCTTCTAGTTTCTATTCTATTCTATTCTATTCTATTCTATTCTATTCTATTCTATTCTGTTCTGTTCTGTTCTGTTCATTCTCTTCTCTTCTCTTCTCTTCTCTTCTCTTCTCTTCTCTTCTCTTCTCTCCTCTCCTCTCCTAGTTTCTATTCTATTCTATTCCATTCTATTCCATTCCGTTCCGTTCCTTTCTATCTATTCCTCGTCTTCCACCAGAGGAAGCTGAAGAGAAGAAGAGCAACTAAGAGGATTAGGAAGCTGAAGGCTGAAATGTGTGAAGAACGGTGGCTGGAACTGGGTAGGTCTCGTTTAATGAAAAGAAGGACTTGGGGGTTGACCTGATAGCAAACTTCCAATATTTGAGGGGCCGCCCCAAAGAAGAAGAGGGAGTCAAGCTATCCTCCAAAGCCCCCGAATGAAGGACAAGAAGCAACGGATGGAAACCAACCAAGGAGAGAAGTAATCCGGAACTGAATGAGAAACGTCCTTATAGTATGAACCACAGCTTTCCCCCAGAGGTTATGGCTGCTCCATCACAGGAGGTTTTAAACAAGAGACTGGACAGCCACTAGTGTGAATTGGGATAGGGTCTCCTGCTTATGCAGGGGGGGCTGGACTAGAAGACCTCCAGGGTCCCTTCCAGCTCTATTCCGATTATGGCCTAGGGCCTCCTGCCTGAGCGGGGACATTATGACCTCAGTATTCCTTTGGCCACCGAAATACTTCAACAAAACTTTCTTGAGCTGCTTCTCGTGTCTGGCTCTGGTGGGCACCTGCACCAGGCTAAACCGGCTTGGATGCCTGTCCGTGGCACGAGCAGCTCGGACCGCGCTGAGCTGGACTTCGCGAAGAGGCCCGTACCTTGTCCTCCCGGCTCTGCCCAGCCACCCCGGTTGGGGTGGTTTGTGGCTGGAGCGACAGCAGAGTTTCGAAGAGCGTCCGGGCCTCGGTGATCTGCGAGGCCACATCAGCATTGGGGTGCTGGCCAAAGGCCTCTGGGGGGTCCATGCCTGGCAGGAGGCTGATGTACTCCTTGTAGGAAGACAGGTTGCCATCCTTGGGGATGTAGTAAGTGTCTAACACCGTTAGCCTGCAGAGAGAACCGAGAGGGCTTAGGAGAAGCGTGAGGTACTCCGATCCCATGCAGGAAGAGCTGGCGACTCGTTGGTCTGCTCAAGCCTTTATTGGAAATAATAATAATAATAATAATAATAATAATAATAATAATAATAATAATAATAATAATAATCCGGCTTGTATTGGTCTGCTCAAGCTTTTATTGCAAAATAATAATAATAATAATAATAATAATAATAATAATAATAATAATAA